AACAGGTCTGGCCTGGCTTGAAAGCCACACTGTCCGGGAAAATAAAACACTTTAAGAGGCGCGACTGGATGAAATCCAATGTAGTCATGCGACCTTTTAATCCATTCCTTATGGAAACCCTAAATGTTAATGATCTGGGTTTTCGATGGATCGCTTTAGATACCGTTGTTGTGAAGACTTTCATTTCGCAAGAAAATGTGTCTCACGAAGAGATTTGTGAGTTCTTGACTTGATGCTGTATTTAATCTTTTGCACGAATGAGTTTCAGCTCTGAGCAGGACTGCTAACGGGCCCAGACAGTTTTTACCTTAATGTCGTATCAAGCCGTTGTCTTCCTTCATGGAAAATGAAATTTTCCGCAATCCCTCCAGCTGGAGGACCCTACAAGCAGCAGAAATACTTCAGACGTAGCCTCTTGAGTTCACATTGCTTATCTGGTCGGCACTGCCACCGGTTCCCCTTCCGTGAACTAATTTATGCTTTGTCCAAACAGGAAAAACCGCTTGCCACAGGCCTATTGTTTGGCTCTGACTCGTCGCATCGCGAATCGGGCTGCATACATCAAGATCACGCAAGATAAGCATTTATTGTTAGTTGGTGACAGATACCTTCCTCCCACCGCACGTCTCCATGGCTAGAAAACGGATAGAATCAGGGCTCGGACAAAGATCTGCCAAGATGGTATCTCAGAGTTAAAAATGTATGGCCACACACTCACTCCAAGTTGGCCCAATCGCCCACCGTTCATCCGAGAATGCGAAATTGAGCAAAGCCTACTTGAATACTCTGGCATGGTAGAGTTGGTCGGCTCTTTGTTTCCCTTCTCCATACACGCCCGCGCACCCTCGCATACCCACACAAGCTCACACCCACTGGGAAATGCATACGACTAGTACGTGAAATTCGGTATTAACTTTGATTACCATAGGTTACATACTATGATATGGGTCTGATAGTTGGAATTTTCCCACTCTCCATTGATTGGGCCGGGCAATTTCACACGAAACTTTTTCATTCAATTTGGACTGAAGATTCGACCTAGCAGG